CTGAGAGATTTGGAGCCAGCTGTTTGGAAACATGATTATTAAATGTGTTTGGGCAAAAATGTAAAGAAATACCTTGTTGGGAAATGTATATTTGTTTGATCTGGATGCAATTATTATTGGAAAGAAAAAAAAGGGGGAGCATTTAATACTACTTTAGGCTGGCCATACACATAGCCGAGTCCTGATTGAGGTCCTGTCGGAACCTCCAACCCCTCTCCATTTTTCAGCTGTCTTTTGTCGAAGAAGCTGGTTCAAGTATTAGGACAGGAGAACTCAAAACTGCTGTCAGAAAACAAGAGACCGTGATAGTTCCCCCACCCAAGCTCATAGCAGTAATTGGGGTTTTATTCCTGCTGAGCCCAAGGATCTGAATGAGAAAAAAAAAGAAGAAAAACTCACATTATATGAGCAGCTTTACTTGGCACTGCAAGGTCTGCTTTAAACATTTCTTGCTCTCATGTCATTGACTCCTAAATAGTTTATTTTGCACATTACTACAATTTACAAAAGGACACATAACATACAAGAGCTGGCTGCATAGCTACATTTGGCTTCATCAAAAGTGATGTGGCAAATAGTAAGTAACATGACAGACCCATATAAAACACAAACGTTGCGGAAAACAATTTTGACCTGACAACTGAAGCAAAATCTGTGCGGTCTTCATAAGTAGTCAGCTTGCCACAAGAAATTCCCTACAATGTCTATTCAAAGAGCAGACAGTAAAACCCCATCAACTCCAGTGTGCTTTGTGGCTCCTTTTCCTTCGGAAGAGGAATCCCATTGTTTTCAGTGTCCTCTGTTCACACCCGAGTGTGGCGCTTATTGCCAGGCATGTGAAGCTTGAAAAAGTACATGAGCTTCTTTTGGGGCAGAATCCTGTGTTTGGACTCATAGGGGGGAAATTGATGAGTTAGCGTGACATTGTTGTCTTTGGAACAAGAAATTTTGTTGCAAACTAGCTGCAAAGTTTTAACTTTGTTTTGAGCCATTTTCGAAGTGTGCTTGTGAAATATTTATATTTGCATCTGACTGTATATGTTTTACGACATTTCACATCATTTTTCAACTGCACAGTATTTGCGGCCATCATTAAAAAAAAACCAAACTGTCGCACATTCTGCTCCTGAGCACATTTTAACGGGACACTAAACCCAGGAGTTAAATCTTAAACATGCATTCAAGTCCCTCAACTAGTAACAAAAATGTATCTTATTTGTGTATCACTCAGCTGTAGATCCTCAAATCATCTCTGAATTGGTGCCGGTGATGTGTCAAAAGTACGAACTTATCGAGTTGTGGGACCGCATGACTTCCGGTTTCCTCAGAACTACGAGGTTTGCACACAAACTATGTTGTGCACGAGCGCCATCCACGGCATTGCCCTATACACATAGACCATAGCAATAAATTAATAAAATGATGTAGGATGACAGTAAGCCAGCACGTTCTTTATCTCAGGTGCCCCACTCAAGCGGCAGCCATATTGAGTGGGGCACCTGAAGCCGCATGACGAGCTGGCCGGAGGAGAAAAAAAAGTTGTCTTTTTTC